CTGCTGACAAGTACAGAGAAGATAAACATGGCCAGACCAGAGTCTGCACCTAACAAAAAACACTAACTGGTAGGTTTTTTGTTTGCTTTTTTCAGGTTTCTAGAAAATCGGCAGAGAACTCAACACTACACACTTTCTTTGGGGGCAAGCAGAGATTTCAAAAACCATCCCCTTTTCTCAACTGCTGCCTTTCCAGTGTTGCTGCCACCCTCCTGTTGCTCCACAGCACTCTGCCACCACTGACAGTGCCAGAGCAGCTCTGTGAGACATGCCGGTGAGAAGGGCATGCAGGACACTGTTTCATGCTGAGTATCACCAACACTTTAAATCCTGACTTTGTTCCCATCCTTTGAGATCGTGCCATAGCCAAGTCACTTAGTAAAGCCTTACAGCACTCTCAAGAAAGGGAGAGGGAAACAAAGCAGTGAGAGGATGCCCAGAAAGCATGTCACACTAGGATGTACTTTCCCAGCATCCTGTGATGTGTAGCACAGGCAACTTTAGAGACAGAGAACATCTTTGTATTCAGCCCTCAGTAAGTTCCTCTTCCATTTATTTCTTTGATCTGCTCTTGAAAGCTGTGTAAACTTTTAGAATTTATGTCATCTTATTGCAAAGGCTTCCAGTCTGATTACCTTGGGTACAGAACACAGAAGTAAAAGTTTCTGCTATGGGCTTATTTTCTGTGGGTATTCCTTCTGTATCCTGATCACCTGTTAGCCTTACTCTCTGGCTTCCCAATTCTGATGTATTTGGAAAAAAAAGAAAAAAAAAAATCTTTAATCTGTTTGCAAGGTCATTTGTTGTGTTTTGTGGGTTTTTTTCCCTCCTTCTGTCTTATGCTTTTCTATTTAACCTACCAGACTTTATCAGACTTTGTGTATTTCCCATTTGAACACAGATTCACCTCTTGGAAGGATGTTTTCTTGCTTCTTACAGAGCTCTTATTCTGCTGTTTACCACCATTTCTTTCTGGTTTTGGTTTCCAAAAGCTTTTGATAAGTATGTTAGTTCTGGTTCTCTGGTACAGCATCCCTGAATAGCTCCCATCCTGCCTTTAAGATACTTACTTCAGTTTAGAAACAATTCTATATCCTTTTAGGTGCCAGCATTTTGATTATTTTATTATCATATAAGCCTCTGTAGGCTCTGGCTTTCACTACTGCAGCCCTCTCCTTAACTCTGAAGAAATGGTTCCCCTTGTGAGCTCTCCCTCCCACACTCCCAGTCACACATGGAGACTCTCTACCTCCTTCCTCGTGCTAACTTCCAATTGGAACCAGGCACTGGAGCCTGCAGAAAAGAGCCAAGTAGTGTCTGAATCTCTCATTCCAACGCTTGAGTGGCCTGTGATTGTACTGGATGTTGCCTTTATCCCACATTAACTACCTGTGTGCAGTATTAGCACAACTTCAGTGAGATTGTTAACAAAGCTTGTCATTACCTGGCTTGCAGTGTTTCAGTGGAGCCCTCGTTCTGCTGAGTGAAGCACCCAACGGGCTGATCTGGGAAGTGCAGCAGATGGTATTTCTTGCTCTCAGTGCTTTTGCACTGCAGAAGTAGGACTTATATCTCTTCCCAATGTGAAGAAATGCCCAAACCATGAGCCCAAGAAATGTGCCTTGTTTGTGCTAGGTTTTGTGTGCCTCTTGATTTATTTGGAATCAAATCTTAATCCAATTCCAACCACTAAACCACAATAGCCTCTGAAGATTTGTATCTAAGGATTGCTAATGAGTTCTAATCAACTAAGTATGACACTATTGACATCCCAACCAACCAGACGTAAGAAAAAAGAGGAGATAAAACTTAGTGTGCAGATACAAAGAGTAGTTTGATGTTTATTAGAAACAATCCACAACTTGAACTAAAGCCCGTGCAGTAGTTTAATGTGCAGGGATCACAACAGCAAATGAGGGCCAAAATAATCCCTTGTGTTAAGTCATCCTAAGGGAAACATTCAGCCATTTTTCATTTGTTTCAAAACAGTGATTT